AACACACAAAAAAACCCCAAAACCATAAATACACATATACAAAACATACGAAAGCATACAAACAGACAAAATAGAGAGTTTATAGCTTCAGTTTGAAGGTTTCAGTTCACTGGTGGTTTACTTAATAAAAAGCTAATTCTTGTCCTTCCTTTACCTTTATATTTTTACCATATTTGTGTTTTTGTCAGATAAGCGAGTTGAGATTACCTGCTCAGTCAATAATGAAGGCTAAAGTGTCCCCACCAGTATTTATGGAAGAGACCTTTAGGATAGATTGTCTTTTCCCTGATGTATAATCTTAAGGAAGCTGTGGACTAAATTTTGGGTAAAGGACTGAGCAGAAGGCTGTCTGGGTGTTCCCAAAGCTCATCTGAGTAGATACAAGACCCAGTTCGTATTTTTAACTTCAGGTCTCTGAGTCCCTCATGAGTCCCTAGTAGGGAGAAGGCAGCCTTAAAACTTGAGGGACTACAAGAAGTTGAGGGGTTGGAGTGGGAAGGGGAAAGGTCTGATGGGGTGGATAGAGGAAAGGAGGAGATTGGAATAGCAAAGGAGGACAGATAAAGGATGCAAGGGAGCTAAAGGGAAATTGAGGGTGGTAAAAAGGAAGAAGGAAGAGCAGAGGGTGATGGGAAAAGAAAAGTTTTAGATGAGCCAGTTTGGGGAATCCCAAGTTTCCCAAGAAGGACATTGAAGTTCTAAATTGTTTGTAGTAAAATTTTGCCATTTTTGAAGATGTTGAACTGAATTAGTGCTGTAATGGTGAAGCATTCAGTCACTGGGAGTAGAGGCAGGGCCCCCAGTGGAGTGAGAGCAACCTAATGAGATTAGATGATTAATCAGGCATAACTTAGAGGAGTTGGGAGGGAGTATGAATTTGTGAGGAGCCAAGAAAATGCCTGGTGGTGTCTCCACTAGCGGAGTCAAGGGGCAAAAGGAGGCCTCCTCACAGAAGAGCAGGGGAGAGTCCTGCTCAAGAGTCAGAGTGTGATTTTTGTTTGAAGAACCAGAGATAAAATTTACTTGAAAAATTTTTGAAAATTTGCTTGAAAATATCAAAGTAACTCCTCAACAGACAAGATGTCTGGAGCCCTGGTTCAAGAATTGAACTCAGGGAAAGATCCATGAGTCTCTGAACAGAAGAGGAGTTTAAATGATTCACAAAGTTTCAGTATTGACGTGGTGATGGTGTGGGTTCATAGGTGAGGTCCAGTCCCTAGCCATGTTATGTCACCATACAAATGCCACACACACACACACATACATACATACATACATACATACATACATACATATCCCCACTCAGGGAGAAACGTTATTTGAAAAGACTGTTGTAATAGGGAGAATGCTCAGCACAAGATAGGCAGGTGTCAAAAAATCAAACAAAAAAGCTTTTCTCTTATAGGTACAAGTGAAGAGTGCCAGCAGGATCTTTGTGGGAGAGTGGGACAAGTAGGGAGTTAGCAGATGACATGACCAGGACACTTTAACAGATGTTTTTTTCCTGTGGTTAGCTAGTGCTTGGAATGTGTCCTTAAGAGAGGGTGTTCTGCATTGGCTTGCTTAAGCTTAGAACTAGCCAGTTTTGGGGTCTATGGGAGGAGAGAAGCCTAACTTTGGTCAAGCCAAGTCAGTGGGTAAGTAATGGGCATTTGTGAGCACTTGGCCCATACTTAATATAAAACCCTTTTACTTTATGACATATATGTTTTTAGATTGGGTTCTGAAAAATACCTTTTAAATATTAGTTAATATATTTACCATATTACTGTTGTGCAGTGAACTGTTCTAGGAATTGTGGATAAGTTTAGTTGTAAGATACAGCTCCTGTTGAAGGGGTAGAGTTCCTAGTTGAAATTGGAAATGTACTTTAAAAAAATACTAATATCAGTTGTAAAGATGGTAAGGGCTCAAAGAAGAAAAGCTGAGGCATTTGGAAAGTTTCATGGAGTAAGATTTGAATCTGGCCTTCAAGGAGTGCTTGCTGGGATAATGAGACAAGTGTGGAGTGAGCCGAAAGATAAATACACTGGTGGTGGTATGATGTACTCACTGTTGATGTGTTAAAAACCAGTTTGTATGATGCAGAGACTATGAAAGGTAAGTTAGAGTCATAGGTAGATGTCACCCGGTGGAAGCCTGAGGTGTTGAGGCTTTCTGTTTTAGGAAAAGGAGGTCTGAAAGCTTTTTGAGTTGGAGAAAGCAGAAATATTGGAAGTAGAAAAGGGAAGGAAGAGTGTTGAGATCACTTACTACTAGGGTACTTTAGGCATGAGGTCATGAAGGTCTAGAGTAGGACAGAAGTTCTAAAAATGGAAAAGGGACAGATTATAGGACGTGCTAAAGAACAATCAACAAGACAGTAATTGGCAGACCAGGAGAAAAGAGAGGCATCAAAGATAGCCTGGGATGCACAAGTTAGTTAGGGAAACTGTGGTACCTTTGACTCTTGAGGGTTTTTTGTTTTTGTTTTTGTTTTTTGTATGGGTTATTTGGGGAGAGAGGTGATTAATTTATTGGCAGGAAGAGATGGCCAACAGGATATTACAGATGCAGAACTGAAGGTTAGGCTGGAGACGATGATTTGAAAATGACCTGAATTGAATTTGTTGATTATATGAATAATTTTCTCTTCTATATTCTCTTACTTGGGGGACAACAGAGAGTCTTGGGGATACCTATGTTTGGGAAGTGGGATAAAGATTTGAAATTAAAGGGAGACAGAACACAACCAGAAAAACAAGAGTAATAGTTTAGGAGAACATTCTACATAGATAGGGGTATGGTCAGTATTGCTGAATGCTGTAGAGAGGTCCAGAACAAGGACTGGGAAAAGGCCGTTGGATAGGGTTATGAAGTCTTGGAGAAAGCAGTTTCAGTTGAGTGATGTGTGAGAAGTTTGACTAAGAGAGTGAATGGTTGGTGGTATAAAGTATATACCAATATTAAAAAACTTTGTGGTTAGAAGAGAGAGAACTATTATCTTTGTGATAGGAAGGTTAGGGGTGTTAAAGTTTTTTGATGGCAGGGACCTGGCAGGAGCCCTTGAAGATACAAGAAGTATGGAACAATTGATAGAGTTAAGTTGTAGAGAGGTTGTAGGGAGACTGAATCAAAAGGATTGCTTTAACCTGGAAGGGCAGCTTGTCATTTGAGAGGATGGGTGGGGTATAGAGATTTTTGAGGAGTGTTAAGATATTGGGGATGTATGACATTTATCTTGCTTCCTGCTTCACTGAAAATATTTTACAAGATGATCTGAGAATGAATGACTCACAAAGCATGGAATTTGTCTTCAGGAAAGCAGAATAAGTTTAGGAAGACTATTAGAGAAAGTTTGGTAGGAAGTAATAAAGGAAAACTAGGATTCCTAAGCACCTGTGAAGGTTCCACTAAAGAGATAATGAAGGTGGTTATTTGGGTTATATGGGTGTTAGGAACGCAGAAGGTAAGCTTTTTGGAATGGGAGGGAGATACTGAGTACATAGTATATATGCTACAACTAGGGGCAAGTATGTGTGGGTCCTGTGTATTTTTTTAATAGGTAAAAATAATATTGAATATAAAATTGTATCTGTCAGATGTCCCATTTACTATACTGCTGAATAGATAATATTGTAGTAAGTATTCAAGTATCAGAAGGGTGGTTGGGTAGGATGAGCTCCAGGATTTCCTTTTAATAATGTAAAGTTTACATATCAGAAGGCTTGCGAGGCCTTAAAAGATCACAAAGGTTCTGTGTATTTTGTAGATGAGATCTTCAGTAGAAAGGTTAATGTTTGACTTGAAAGTCATAAAATACTTTCTGTGTTGCACAGTGAAGAGAACATCTCTGTCATCATAGAAAGTTTTGTTGAATAGTGGTGCTCCAGGTCTTTAATTACTATCAATACCAAGAAAATAAATGTCATAAATGTGGAATAGAAATATTTTATAGAATTTATACTACTTCAGTCCTAACAGCTTCAGCTTTCTCAAAGTTAGTATTATTTCATTAGGATAGACTTTATGTTTAGTTTTGAAATTAGGTCAACTAAAAGGTCATTCTAATAATAATATAAAACAATAAAATAGTTGGAGATTTCTGTCAGACTGTTTATTTAACAGTTTTATTAAGGTATAATTGATAGACAAACTGCACATATGTAAAGTGTAAAATTTAGTAAGTTTTGACAAATGTATACACCTTTGGAACCATCATGATCAATGGAATATAGCTATCACCACAGAAATTTGCTTGTGACCCTTTATAGTCTCTTCCTCTCATTCTTCCCCACCCTCCCTGCATACCTCCAGACAACTGATCTACTTTTTGCCATAATAGATTAATAAGAATTTTCTAAAATTTTATGTAAATGAAACAATGCAATATATACTCTTTTTGTCTAACTTCTTTCACTCTGCATAATTATTTTGAGATTCACCCATGTGAGATGTACAAGTAAGTCATTACTTTTTATTTTATGGATATATCACAATTTATTCATCGTTAGTGTTTTGATGACATTTGGGTTGATTGCCGTTTGGGTTGTTACAAATAAGCTGCTCTGAACATTTATGTACTGTTTGTTGTATTGACATATGCTTTTGTTTCTCTTGAGTAAATACCTAGGCATGGAATGGCTGGATCATACGGTAAGTTATATATTTAACCTTTAAAGAAACTGCCAAACTGTTTTCCAAAGTGACTGCCCCAAGTGGAGTATGAATGTTTCACTGGCTCCACATCCTTGCCAATTTTTGGTATGGCCAGGCTTTTTAATTTTATCTGTCAAACTGAACAAGAAAAGACAGTCCTGGTAGATTCAATTCCCTGTCTTGGATTTAAATGCTGCAAGAATAATATTTTGTTTGTGAAAAGATTTTAAGACTGCCTTTTATAGATTTACTTCCTCTTCTTTTTGGATAGTATTTGCTCACGAATGCTGATTTGAAACTCCATTTCTAAGAACAACACATTTCCTTCCTTTTTACTTATACAGTTTTACTTTTTGTTCTAGCGGCCCCTTTGTTGCTTTATGCAAACAGACGGGACTTGCGATTGGTTGATGCTACAAATGGTAAAGAGAATGCAACAGTTGTGGTTGGAGGTTTGGAAGATGCAGCTGCGGTGGACTTTGTGTTTGCTCATGGCTTGATATACTGGAGTGATGTCAGCGAAGAAGCCATTAAACGAACAGATTTTAACAAAACTGAGAGTGTACAGAATGTTGTTGTTTCTGGATTATTGTCCCCGGATGGGCTGGCATGTGATTGGCTTGGAGAAAAATTATACTGGACAGATTCTGAAACTAATCGGATTGAAGTTTCTAATTTAGATGGATCTTTACGAAAAGTTTTATTTTGGCAAGAGTTGGATCAACCCAGAGCTATTGCCTTAGATCCTTCAAGTGGGTAAGTTTGTGTAATACATAAAGGTTATTGCATCTCCTCATTTCTCTCCACTGGCATAGACCTCCTCTCACGCTCAAGAGAAAAGAAGATCAAAAAACAAATTTTAGATTCTTTGGGCTTCTTTGTCAAGTAGACTTGAATGTGGGAAATCATGTTGTGTTCTTAAAATACGGTGTTTATCTGTAAATAGTTTTGTGTTTCTAGTATCATTTATGGGTAAGCCATATTTTAATTCTTGGCTTTTCTTCTGTGTTTACTTTTTTGTAATTATGAGAGGATAATTGGAAGTCAGAGAAGAATAAAGACTTCACAAGAGTAATATTTGATAATGCAAGACTATAAAAAATCTGTATCTTATACTCATATATATATATAATCATTTTGTAATACTAGCATCTTTTATATTAAACTGACATTAACATGAAAAATAAAAGTTACATTGTTATATAACTCATTTCTAGTTAGTTAAACATGTTTGCTATAAAGGTTTATTTTCTAGTGAGAAGGGAATTGTATATATAGCTGTAGGTAAATCCCATTAGAAAATGTGAACTACATGCTTCTCTGTTACTATGCTTCATTCCTACCACACAGTATTCTTTGATATTTCTCTGTTAAATACATTGTCAGGCTAGAGTCTGTTGTGGCTACATATAGGTATAAGGTGTATCTAAACATGAACTTGAAATGAGCTAATAACGGTTGGTTAAAATCTAAAAATAAATAAAAACTGTGTTAGAATGCTTTCAAGTATGTTGGAATGCTTTAAAACTCATTTATATAAAGAAGTGGGTTAATACTATTTAATGAAGTAAAACTTGGGGAAAATGAAGGAAAGGTTTATATGTGCTCCTTTGTCTCGACAGGAGGTCCTATTGGTGACAAAGGTTAAAGAACATGGCATATTGTAGGAAAATGAAAAGATTTGTTTGATTATAAAAGGTAATGTGGACAAGTGTAGTGAAATTTTAAGGGTAAAAAGTTCTGGAAAACAGATGTGTATTAGATAATACTTTAAATGACATATAAAATTATATTTTTTAGAGAGGTATCTGCTAAAGTCAGATGGTTACTTAATAAAGCATCAGAAATCGTTACAGTGGTTCTCATGGCAGGAAAAAGGGCTGAGTATACCAAGGAGGAGGCTGCAGATGTGTGCAGTAGACTCTACTGATTGAGGAATTTGGTGGTGAGAATTTACAAGATCTTTCAAGAAATAGAATCTGTGTTTGCCAACAAAGTTTGTATGTTTCAGTGAGTATTGAAATATTTCTGAGATTACTGCTTGATACTTTCATTGGTCATTACTTTGGTGAAAAGATAGGTTATTGTTTTTGTTTTTTTTTACAAATTCAGTCCTACAATTGTAAGGGTGATGATGGAAATTCACCCAAATATCTATTAAATGGTTAATATGTTGAGAGTTCTGGTTTTTTTTTTTTTGTATTCTCCTTGGTGAGAGAAAGGGACTGTCTTTAAGGATTCACTATCTGTTTAAGGACAGAAAACCTGGGAGATGGGGTAAGAGTGTTAAAGGAGTTAGAAGGGCTATAGGAGCTCTTAATAAGGATGGTAACTACAATTCTGGAGCAGCTTCTTGATCATTTCTGTAAGAGATAATCATTTATATGATAGTACATATTCAAGGGAGCTAAAGTTATAGGCAACTCTTGACTATTCAGAATTTAATAATTTAATGAGTAAATGAATTATTCTCATTTTGTCCCCTGAAACTAATGAGCTTTACTTCTGGTGGCAGGTCTGATAAGTGTCTTAGGAAGTAAGTTTGCCATATGATTAAAAAGAATATTAGAGTCTTTGTGGCTTTAGTTTATCTGTGATATCTCCCAATATTGAAGGTAAGAATTTGCCAAAGACTCAGCTGATAAAGGATATTACTGGAAGAATCAATAATACTGTGCTTCGAAGGTAGAAAGTAGTGTTATTTAAGCTTCTAAGGGACATTCAGTGGAGAATAACTGTGTTTTTCCTGAGGCTTAAATGATTTTTGGTCAAACACTCTATGAAATATCTTTCATTATTTTTTTTGTCTTTGGTGAGTGTTGTGTGTGTGGGGGGGTGTATGCACAAAAATTAATCTTTTTCCCCCTTTAAACAGTTCTCTTAAAGTTTCTTTTAATTTTTGTTAAATTATTTTGTGTTATATGGCTATTTCTAAATTGTGCAACTGGAAACAAATAGAATGCACAGCCAAATGGTGTACATTTGGTAATTAGCATGATGGAGTGTATTTAAAATTAGATTTTAAGTCATACATTAAAAATATATTCTATCAAATAATCTTTCAGTTAATCTTAGCTTTATGTTAAGGATTGTGGTTTTATTGGAAAAGTCACTTTTTTATCAAGAACATCACTAATCAAGCAGAAGATACGATTTTCAAATTTATATTTTTGGGGAGAAAGGAAGTTTGCTTTCCAGAGAAAGTACATGAAAACAGTGCTGAGGAAAAATGTAGGCTTTATCAGAGTTGCAGGATCCTGGGTTATGAGGTTCAGATGAGCTGACTGAGCTCTCTCACATCAGCTTATGTAAAAGGGAAACTTCTGAATGACTGGTATTGTTTGAGCCCTGGGAACTAGTGCAGACATCTGTGTGCTTTAGAATGTATGGAGTTCTTTGTGTAAATCAGTCCATTTAGCCTAGACTGAAGGAAGATTTTTATTTCCTTCCCTAAATTTGACCTCTATTACTCTGAGGTGGTTGTTTTTTTCTTTTTAGTGACTGACAGTGTAGAATTCAGAATAAGCAACAGGAAAACATGTGTATGGAAATTGTTCCAGAAATGAACAATCATAGTTACAGAAAGCAGTGTCCTTATTTTATAGTGGGAGGTAATTCTTGATTATGTGGCTGCTCCTAATAATGGAGTTCCTTTATCTATTCCACAATGACTATACTGATTTTAGTGATGAGGACCTGCTGTTTAGGTACATTTAAAGCAGTGCTAAGGGTTATTTGTTTGTTACAGATCTGTTCATATTCCAAATCATTTTTGATGTTTTTTAGAAATTTAAACTTGAGTGATTCAGTCTGAAGTGAATTCATACTGAAATCTTTGGATGATACATATTTTAAAAGTACATTTTTATTGTTGTTAAGAATAATATTAATAAAAGTTCTACTTTAAAAATGCTAGTAGACTAGCTCAGTGGAAGAAGAATAATGCATAATTTCTCGTCAACTACATATATATAATTGTCGTATTTTGAGTATGTTTAAAAGTGTTTTCTACACTTGTACATTCCAGATGACTAAAATAGTTTCTGCCACATAGTATGTGTTCAATAAATATTTTTTGAAGGACTGGAATTTATATTTTGTTTTATAGTCCAATCAGTTTTCCTTGTTAGGAGAGAACATCTTCTAAGCAAATGTAAATTTTAACATTGTCTCTTGTAAATTCTGAATCAGTATGACTTTGATTACAATTGTTTAAAACATAATTGAGATTTTTAGTCTTTTCAACACAAGTTATCAAGATCATATTTCATAAAAATGTACTAACTAAAGCTTGTTTTTATGTCATAATTAGCTCTTTTACTTACTAACCAGTACTTTCATTTTCTTGGACCTTAATTTAAGTGAGATATTAGAAGAAAGTATTTTATATTCTATTTTTAGTATTTTATTTTATAATTACACATTCGTGTCAGTAATTTAGGTATGTTACACTTAGAATTGTGTTTATGCAGACAGATTCTTCTTAAAATTTTTTTCTGCTGCTTATTATATGTCACCAGTTTAACCTCCCTTTTTAGGGCTGTTTCACCCCAAAAACCAGTTTAAACCTTTTTTCCAGTTCCACTTAATGTAAACTTGAAAAGTACTTTAAATGTCAAAGGATTCCATTTGTATGAAGGATGTAAAGTGTAGCCAGTTACTTTTAGGCAGACTATATGGATTCATACATGCTTGGAGGTAGGTTTTTTTTTGAGATTATTATAAAAAAACTAAGAGAAGTAGGTTAGAAAAGCCACTAATCCAGGGAATCTGGATTATAGGTTTAGGTTTACCAGCCTGTAGGACTTGAATTAAAGCCCTTGGAAATGAAAGAAAAAGAAACACCTTAGACATAAATTGTGTGTGTGTGTGTGTGTGTGTGTGTTCTCAAATGTTAGTGTGGGGCTTTTTTCTTAAAAACATGTTAACCCTTATCCAGTTTTTGTTTACTTATTTATTGAAGTATATTTGACATTGTATTAGTTTCAGGTCTTTAATTCTTTAGTGATGTCTATCACCCTGACTCAAACTGAGTTTTAATTATGTATTCTAATTTTTATGTCCCATATCTCCAGGCCCACTTTCATTGAAAGAATATTGAAAGGGAATATTTCAGTGTAACCAAATGACTTTACCTAGCTCAGTCTCTTCATAGTTTAGCTTTTAAAGTAAAAGCTTTCCTTGCTTGCAGCATTGCCATTTTAATTACTCCTTAGCAGAAAGAAAAACAAAGTTTTGTGACAGTGAATACCTTTTACTGAGTATTGGCTGTCTGCATATTGGGAATTTCATGTACCTGTGCTGTATTCCAGTGTGGCTGGCTCTTCAGAAATTATAATAGATTAGTTTTGACCACACCCAGTATTTATGTTATTGAGCCTCTAAGATTTTGAGTATTGGCTGTCTGCATGTTGGGAATCTTATGTACCTGTGCTGTATTCCAGTGTGGTTGGCTCTTCAGAAATTATAATAGATTAGTTTTGACCACACCCAGTATTTATGTTACTTAGCCTCTAAGATTTTGGAGGGAGGAGTTTGTTATATAGCTTATTTGTGAAGAAGGAATAAATTGATTGTCTAAAGTATCTTTTTGCAGCATTTGATATTGATACCATATTCCTTTTAGAAATTTTTCTCTCAAGACCTCCTGATCTTTATTATCCTGTTTGGTTTTCCTACCATTTGGGCCATCCTTTTCCTTCCTTCAGTAGCTTTTAAGATGAAACAGTTTAAGGGTGCATTATTTATTTATTTTT